CCTATGACATTGACATGTTTAACTAATTATCATTAACATAACAAAGATATTGTCACTATGTACCTCGTTTATTGTAAAATAATTGTACCTTACATGATTGAGAGAGGGAAGGAGATAGAGAGGACAGCACAATAAGCATTTCAAAGTTTTTCCTTTACTCAAATGTTGAACACTGCAATGAACATCATCCATCTCCCAAATAAAAACTTTGACATCAAAACCTCCTAACCTTTAGAAGAATAGTTAATGAATTATTTAACTAGTTTAATACACTAACTTAAATTAAGCAATTTCTATCTCTCAATGAACACCTTCCATGTAGTTCAAATCTTATGATGACGTTTTTGTAACTAGGTTTACAAGAACTCCATTATAAAAAAATAGCCTGTTAATGTCATCATTCTTGTCATTCACCCTAAAGTTTAGCTATACTCTCATCATGCTTAACGTTAAAAATTATCTTATGCCTTGAATATCAGATAAATGTTTTCATTAAAAGAAGGATGTTTTACACCAATTGTCACTTAAGGAGTGATTTATTTATTCATTTTCTAGAAAAGTCATTGAGTCAATTGCTATCATATCTTTATCTAGAAAAATACCATACCCCATATTTTAGGTTGCATTGAACTAAGAATAACATCTCATGCTCCACCATTATTTAAATTGTTATGAGAAGTAACAAATCAATAATATCTTGTCATCATGGCCCAAATTCTAATGTCATTTTTTTGACAAGTCTAGTTAAAATATCCACATTAAGAAAGGAATTGATTTTTTTGCCTAATTTTGCAGCAAAACAATAATTTTTTGATAAGTTAAAAGAATTAAAAAAAGGATTTTGAAGGCTTCCACAATTCAAATATCTATGAGAACGCCTATTGATATCTCAAGCTCAAAAGGGTCTCAAGGTCTCTCATCAATGTTCAAGGAGACCCTCCAAATTTGTCCTTACATTCTCATCTTACTAAAAGAAACCTTAAATATTTCATTTTTCATTTTTATTTGACATACTTCTATCATGCTAAAAGGTTTTAGTTACTACCCAAGGGAAGCTAACTTTTAATAAGGTAGTATAGTATTAAGTAAAATACATAAAATGAGGCCTTTGGACTGCAAAAAAATTAGTGAGACATATTCTGTTGCAATTACATATTTCACACTAAAACAAAAAAAAACGATAATTCATCCCCATCTTGTTGGAATTTATCTCTCATTATGCCTAGTTGAATGGATAACATTGGCTATTTATTGTCTTCTTAAAACGGTCTTAAGCCCCATTCATGAAAATTCAATTCTCAATGTAAACAGTAACAAGAGGTCACACTTAGAATACCTTCCTTATCACTTAACTTTAGTCTTTCTTCCCTTTTCATACAAACCCTCACCTTAATTAACCAGGGAAAAAATCATAGGAAAAATAAGAAGGCTCTAAAAGAAAATGACATATGATCATGTGCACCTAAAAAAAATCCCCTGATTTTTTAAAACTAATTGCACACAACCAAGCAAAATTAATAGTGAATTTATGAAGAATGCAATAAGAATAGTAAATTTATGCACAACTATCCAAAAAAATTACATGTGTGTCTTTCCATGTTATTCGCCAAGTTTAACTTTTAGCATTTATTATCAATGTATCAGAACTTTTGCATAGGCCAAAAAGACACTATGTTAAAAACTACTACTTCCGAGGATCAAGGTACACTCAATTGGGCATTTTCTTAAAAGTTATTTTCTAGAATGAACTATCTCAAAAGAGATGGTTATCCAAAGGTTACATTGATATTATCTCAATGCAACATAAATACTACTTGATGATATTATACCTTTAAGGAAATGTAATAACATAAAAAACTTGTAGAATGACAAACTGATGCAACATCAAGTGCTCAAAAAAAGTATATAATCATGGCATAAATGATAACTAAATTGTAGACTTGTAATTTCATAAAGCAAAGAACATGAAAACTAATATTTTATGGTTCAAAAATGTTCTCACAAATTATTTTAAAGGTAGACCTTTCAATAAGAGGCCTTTTTTGCAAAAAGTTCATTTCAACATTTCATCAACGTACATCAAAAGAGACATTTTTTTCATTTATTGTCTAAAGGAAGACCCCCTAACACTCATGGGAGGGGGTGATAAAATCAAAACATAAGAGACAAGAAATACAATCACACAACCATTACTTCACTTGAGTATCCTACAATTAAGGTCAAATCAGGTCTACATTGTTCAACTAAAACTACATGTAGAAGATCTGACATGCAAACCAAATATTAGGGTAAAAAAGCACAACACGCCATAGAAAAATTATTGTAAATTTTTCTATGGAGTCCAATATTTAATAAGCTTTACCATGTGTTCTATCTCACATGCACTTAGGGTTTTATAAGCTGCTAATATTGCTAGTCAATTAATGTTCTAAGAACATGTAAAAAATTTGTTCCTAATACTTTGATTATATTTTAGGCCAATGGAATTGAAGTGGACACAAAAATGAGAAGCCTTTGTAATGATATGACATAATTTTCTCCTCACTTTCTTCAATTCTAACATCTTAGATGCGATATTAATGGTAACAGAAATAGCTCAAAAACCTTTCTTAGGGACGTCCATCAATATTACCTAATTTGATCAATGTATGATATATTTTTTCACTAAATTATCAAGAGAGATATGCAAGATGTCCAACTATAAATTCCAACAGAATATCCATAAGATGATGGTTTATTATTGACTTTAGAATGGGCTGAAAGCCCATGAAGCACCTGAACTGATAAACCTCTTTACATCTATTTTCCAGGGTCCAGTCCCAAAGATTCACACCATAACAAATATCCAGCTTAAAGCCTCACCCAACGTTCCAATGGTTTCTACTGCTAAAAGCGCCAGAAGGTTCGGGCATAACTTCAAACCAATACTAATTGATTCGCACTTTTACGGATCTACACCCTCTGCCAAAAGCATTATCTTCAGTTAAATCCGTTTGTAGCCAATAATCACATTTATTCTAGATTATTACATTTCAAAAACATGCTATTGACCGCCAACCTCTCTTTTTCCTCCATAGCATTCAAGAATTAAACCAACCACGTATTCTGAAGATAAAAAGTTTCGTCATCTTTGTCCTTGATCTAGTAGAGGGATGATTTTTTTCTAAAACGGGGGTAGACAGATTAATTTTATCCAAGAGGGATGATTTTCTGCTCACAAAAAATCATTCACTACTATTTCTAATGGGCCACATGACCACTTGAATTCAAGCGAGGGCCGTTGAGAGAGTAAACATGAGTTGATGAGCCAATTGAGGGGCTGGGGGGGGGAAAAAATATGACTAATGGAGAAAGAAAGAGAAGTAAGAATTGACTGACTTGTAGTTGGGGTAGATTCCTACTATCTCATGACCGTATACAAGTTCTCACCTCCCTGCTCTATCTTTCTTGTTTAACTCGTATTCGATCATCTCTAAAAAGACAAGCTTCACGTGTGGAAGATCAAGCCGGGGGACTGTACGTGCTAGTCCGTGTTGTACCTTACTGGGAGAAAAAATAAGCTAAGAGAAATTACCAGAGAATGGAGCTATCAAAAGGGACCATGCTACACAGACATCCAATCAGCCTGGACCGTATGATAATGTGTTCCCTCTCGAGATGCTACAGACTACAGAACAGATAGTTCAGTACATCAGTCCACCAGCTCTGCTCGGACCGCACCAAAGGAAGTTCTCGTGTCCCCCAATTGGAGGGGGGCCTTCTCTTCCCTCTTGAAGAAGAGGCCCCACTGCAATAGGAGAATGGAAGACTGGGAGAGGAGGCTATATCGAAAAGTTTGATGTGCCACCAAAACTGAAAAAGAAGAATGGCCAAAAATGAAGACGGAGGTGTTCAACGGTATACGTATCCAGAAGAAACTTTCTACTTGCAGGGAAGAATTCTCCCAAGTCTCATCATCACTCCAATGTATGCTCATCGTCACAGTGTGAACTTATTTGAACAAGATAAAGAGAGCTTTTTGATGATGCATCTTATACGCCGGCATTTGATGGTTCCCCAAGCTACCATTGTCGGGGCCAAATGGTTCTGGAAGGGAGGGACCGATAAAATAAAACTCACAGGTCAAAGGGAACCCCCCCCCCTTCTTCCATCTCTCACAACCGTCGTGTGCATGAATCTAGACACAGGGAAAACTTCCGAGTAACAAGGCTTCTATAACTATTTCATGGAGTGCGAAAAGAGGAAAATAGCGAGTGTGTCTTTTCTTCTTTCGTTTGATTTGGGTTAAATGAACACCGGCACAAACGTGTGCGTGCGTCTCTCTAACGTGCATCAACCTGGCGAAGCAAAGAAATATTCATCGGCTAGAACTCTCTGTGCAGCGCTTATTTGTGCTTGCTGTCCCTGCGTGTGCACCTGCGGAGAGAGCAAACGCGTCAACCCCACGACATTCCGTGCATTCATCACGGAAAATGCCCGTTTCGCGACGCTCCCGAAATCGACCAAAAGACTCACTGGTTTAACATTATCCGTCCTTATCCTAGCAAGGGAAAAACATGGAGGAGGCTCTCCACAAGCTACGGCGAAGCTGAAGTACATCGCCGTTGGGAGAAGACACGAAAGAAGAGAAGACACCGCGGCCAGGAGAAAGCGTTCTCACCAGCAAATCAAATCCAGACTCGAGATGACACCGAAACCACTGCACTGGTTTTTCCCTCTTTCCTGTATTTTTCGGAGCATACGTAAAATAATCGCCGAACGAAAACGGAGAATGTCTACCGTGTCGTCGGCTGGGAATCAGACAATAAGGAAACCCGATCCACCGGTAGTAAAGAGAGGCGAATGGAATGGACGGCCACGGGGAACATAAAATCTTGAAAGAACCTAAGCACAATCGAAGCCAGAGCTCGGATTGTTCGTCCCCAGGGAGTTTTCATTCGATTATTCCCGTGGATCCACCTAAGGACGTTCTGCAGCCACCTCGCGGTGTTATCGATACATCACTTGCATTTCACAAACAGGAGGAAGCGGAAAACAGACGGATGGGGGGTGGGGGGCGCGAGTATGTACCTGGACTGGCTGGAGAAGTGGGAGAGCTTGCCCTTGGGTGAGAAGACTACGACTCCGACCTCGGCGTCGCACAGCACGGCGAGCTCTCGCGCCTTCTTCAGCAGACCGCTCCGACGCTTAGAGAAGCTCACCATCCGCCTCGCCCCATCATCGATCCGCTGAAGCGTCACCTTCCCCCGCACCATGCCTACGCTCCCTAGGAAGAACCCCAGACTTACCGGGCCAACGACGGGGAGGAAGACAACGGAATCGTGGAACCGCCTTCCCTCTCAGCTCGGCTCAACTGAGCTCAGCTCACTGCGTGCATCCGTGTGTGGGTGGAGGGATTGAAGTGCTTGTTTTAATGGTCCCGTGAAGTGTGCACTCTCGGAACTCGAGCCTGAGGATTATTCAAGCCGAATGTCGCATCTCCACCCTTGGATGGGTATCAACGCAAAAGAAACCGATCGTCCGGCAGAGTAACTCCCTCCACCTCAGGTTTCTCTCTCATATCAAAATCAGATGTTTCACGTCCCCTCCTGATTGGCCGAGCATGAGCGGACGGAGCTCAGAGAGAGAGGGTGAGGGGAGGGATAGCATCGAGAAAGTTCTGGAGCCGTCGGTGCCCCGAAGAGTAGTATCCTTACACGAGACAACGAGCCAAGTTTGATCTCCGCCGCCAAAATTTATTCGGCAGGCTTTACATAAAAAAACCAGTTGTAGATACCATCGACACCAACGATTTATTCTTCGGGCCTGTTCATATAAGCCCTTATTATTTCGGCGGAATAATATGAAGTAAATCTACGCCGAGCTAACTACGTAATAAGCACATATGCATGGTCAACGTGAACTGTGTGCTGGTGGGGGCGAAACCGTCTGCACCAACACCGACAACTCTCTGCTCTTCGGATGGAGGCATGCGGTAGATTCCTGACAGGAGTTGCGGAGTAGACGTGCAGTCTACATATAGAGAGAGAGAGAGAGAGAGAGAAGGGGGGGCATTTGGGTCTAAACGACGAGTCGATGACCTACCCGATTTGGAAATTCGCCAATATAAAAGTTTATGCAATTAAATCACTCACCCAACTCTCCAACGGCGACAGATTTCCATCCATCGCGTTATTTTAATGTTTTATTAATACAAACGTCACCCCAACTCCAAGATTTAAAGGCTTAAGGCTTTCTATCTAATCATGGCATATTCACTTGGCATTCCTTAATGTTTACAGCGAAAGGAACTCCAAGAGGGGAACGCCAACCTCCACCGACGGGTAAACTCTCTTCCTCCACCTTACGAACAGTGGTGCACCAAAATCCCTATATTTTTTATCTTTCTCCTAAGACTTGAACAGCTGCGCCTTTCAGCTGCAGGAAACAGGAATGGCTTGTGGAATGGTTATCCGAGAGGATGCCTAGAAGCTGGCGGAAATAGCTCTTCTCGATTCTATCATCAGTCCCCGAGCTTTTTTCTTCTAGACGGCAAAGAGCTCCGGATCACCGCCTTCTGCACGGGGACTCAGCCCACAGATAGTACAAAAGATTTCCGCCTCAGATGATTTTGGACATGATACGGAAAACCATTCTTGGGTAATCATAGATGAAGGTCAGCGGCTGTGATGAGGGAGATGATCGCTCCTCCCTGCCGACGGACGCTTTGGCTCGGTCCGACGAAAGGACCCAATTAAAAAAGAGAGAGAGAGAGAGAGAGAGAGAGACAGAGAGTGAGGTTATCTTACTATGTATGAGCCGCTCAGCCTAGGAACCGCATGGGACTGGGCATTCCAAAGTGACGTCAGCATGCGAACTTGTCTGTACAACCCAAACCCAGCGGATTCTCTGAAGCTCGTTTCCTCACTGCACGGTAATCGGAGTTTGTACATATTTGTGGCCGCAAAAAAAGATTATATTGGGCTTCCACAATCCATGGGCCTGATCCAGCCCTTGTCGAAAGATCATCCGTCCAACAAATCAGGACCATTTTCACCCAAAGATGGGCCTTTCTCGTTCTCAAGACTACTGGGCCGAGTCCGTTAGTCACCCGGACGCCCACCGTTTTATCATGCGGGAGTCACAAATATCTGTAATGATATTTACACATAGACCCTTATAAACCGCTCGATCGAGAGATTAGCCCTGATTCCTTGGTATTTCCACTTCACTTGGTCCCTCCGTTGACATTAGATTATCGAGAAGCGAGTTCACTAAGCACTTCCTACAACTGCGTAATTTACATTACTGACTGAGATGACACGTACCAAGACAAGCGAGGGAGGAGCGGAGGACACGCTGGGGCCCCTTTATGGAGTCGGTGATGGGGAGCGCGGAGATTAAATACCAACGAGACCATGTCGACAGCGGGAGAAGGAATCACGTCAACAGCTTCGGGTCCATGAACAGCTGCAGCGTCCGGAGAGGGCCCGGCGGCGATGCGGCGTTGCTGCTGCTGCTGCCGCCGCCGCCGCCGCCGCCGCCGCCGCCGCCGCCGCCGCCGCCGCCGCTTTCGGGGGCCCTCTGGCTGTTACGAGGTCCATCTTCCTCGTCTTTGCCCTGGTCAGTAGCCATCACCTGGCCACAGCATGACAGGAAACAAGGATGAACGGCACTGCATGAAACAAGGTTATGTCGTAGCATCTCTCTCTCTTTATCCCCTCACTCTCTCTTTGTACGTGCTGTCCGGGAGGAGTCGGGAGGTAACATACCGATCGCAGCTGCTTTCGCTCGCAGACCAGTGTTCTCTCCTGTGGAGACATAAACAGATGGTGGAAGACAAAAAAAGTAGACGAGACTACTCCGATTTGATGTTATAATATAAGTCATGATCTAAAAATATGGTACTGCACAAGTAGGTCTGGTCGTATTCATCGCTTTAATTTATTGAAGTTCACGGAAATTTACATGCGCATGGATTTAAAACAACAACCTTCTGTTGCAGGTCATTTTTGAACCTTGGAGCATGTCAGTTGGTGTTCTTACCGACCGGGAATTCATCAAACGATCTGAATGAAGCTTCCTAATTTTTTTGTATTCGTCAGTTGATGATAATTGCTTAACCATCAATCTGACTTTTTTTAAAAAAAATCACCACATTCACCTCACCAAAAAACAAGAGTCATCGTAGATAGTATACAGGAATTGATTGGTGAACCCAGTAGAGGTCTTTCATCAGGCAACGTACCGGATCATTAAGGTTTGCACCGGAATCCTTCAGAAGTGCCGTCTGCATTTAAGAACAAAGCATCTCAGCAATGAGTCAACTTCTTTGAAACAGTCACAGAATATTTCTCCGGAGGAATTAATCACGAGACACGCGGAGTGGGGGAAACCAGAAAATTTTGAAAATCTACATGCATGCTGCATAACGCTCCTAAAAAAACAGCTAACTAGGCAGATCCAATGGATTCCTCCAACTGTAAATATTTATCGACATGATTGCATGAACGTGGATGGAAACGGTGTGCAAAACTCCATCACAATCGCTTTTAGGCATCCATTTCCTGCTTTATCATCACCAATATCATATCACTCCCCATATGTTGCTCGCTACATTTACTTCTGTTCTCCAAGGCTTCTGGTTACGGCAACCCTAAGTGTATTCAGTTTCTATAATGGCTTTTCAAAATTTACAGAAATCATATCCTTTTTCTTCTGTTTGAATTAAGTGATTGATATTTTGGTGTAGTATTTTGAAGGCAAGCAAATCAAATGGTAAGTTCAGGTATGGATATTTGCTTCCCATGATCATTGATCTATGTTACTTCTTGAGCATTGCTTCAACATTTCAAAGCTGAAACCTGTTTACATGCCTTCCCAACTAGAAGATGACCAAAATCTGGATCTATCAGGGTTTCTAACAGGGTTTTCTGAAAATGAAGAAACCACAAAAGTGAGGTCTTTTTCCTCAGTGTCGCAATATGAGCCAACATTTTTTCACATATCAAAAGAAAAAAAAAAAAGTTAAAACCAGCGGGAATCACTGGAAATATTTTCGGGCCAGTAAATCCCTTGTCGTTTGCTTCAAGTCAGATTATGGCTAGGGAAATTTAGAACAACCTTCAATTTATAAAACAAGGGTATAACCCAGTTTGATGCCTATTGGAAAGAAGGCAAACATTTCTTCCTTTAGAAATTAGGAAAAGTAAGATTTTGGCGTTATAAATTTGTCATGAGAATGAGGTTCGTGTTTGTCTGTCTGTGTGTGCGTGTTGTCCGGGAGTATCTTCCTGAGACCTTTATTTCTGAAAATGAAACAAAGAAAGCACGCAAAGAGAAATTATCCTTGGCCCATAGGCATCATGGGTGAAGTATTGTATCATTCTCCACACGTTTTATGATCCAGAAAATAGGGAGAAAAGGGGGCATTATATTATAGGCATGCCCAGCCGGAGTAAAACAAGTCGGTAACTTATTGAATATACATCCAAGCCAAAGGAAATAAACAGGTCTTTCACAGAACTTTTATGAGACAATCAGGCTTATTTTTTGTCAAATCTGACCTGCCCATTTATGCGACTCATATAACGATTAGGAGCAGGGAGTATGAACTGATTGTCTCAAAGAGTGCGAAATAAGGGTGGACACCTGAAATGCTGAGAATTGTCTCAGACTCATCTGTCATAATGCTCAATTATATCTCTATATTGATCAGAACATGCTATCAGAGCATGCAATGTAGAATCCACACATTTTCTTGGGATTTTTAAAAGATTATGGGTGTATTTTTTGCCGATTTATGGACAAACAAATTAGGAAAATTTTTACTTCAATGGTACATTTTTTAAGTTTCTAATGGTTTTTCCACGCTATTTTACATGCGTGAAATATTTACTGTATTTCGACTCTACTTATCCTCTCTTTTATTTCAATGACAGTAATTCATAGAGTGGAAGTCATTTGAATATTACCTGAAAAATTCAAACATCCTATTGGAATGTTATCGATAATTCATGGGAAAAAATATTAAACATGACTTGCCCATAAATCAGCTCTTTCCCCATTCGTCAGTGCAATCCAATTTTTTACTTCGGCTTTTGTGGCAATCATCAAGCTGATACAATTAATAATATCCTTATAATGTCAGGTTTAAAAATTAAGGACTGACTGTGATGTTATAACCTTAAAAATATAATCGAAAATCATTCAAGTATATTGAGATAGTAAAAGATTAACCAAGGTGCTGGATAAGAACTGGTGAAGAAGAAACTAACCTTTCTCAGCCTCAGTTTCCTCAGTTCACTCTCCAATTGGTCCTCTAACTTTGTGAGCTCATTTATATCTTGTTCAACGAATCCATCATCGAGAACCCTGCAAAGCCTTGCTGGTGTTAGGACTACGCTAATATTCGTATGCTGTTTGGCTGATGATTTTACCTTTGGTCTACCTTAAGTCCATGTTTCATTTCATGATCTGCAAATTCTACACCCTTAACCTTAATAAGAAAAGTGTGTAGTACTTCATTAGATTTCATCAGAAAAGTTTCCAGGCAGACAGGTTCAAAACTATGCGCCACAAAGAGTTACCACAGAACATGACCCAATTTGGTTCAAGCATTGGTTCTATAACATGTCTATCTTCATGCACGTTCCATAGTTGCAAGACTAATGCTAAAATACTTGTCTTGCATATAATAGAAACTATATCATCATAGAGTCATAAGCATCAGATGTTTGACTTAAAAGACATTCACATACTCATAGTCATCAAAAAAATCAAATTCGGGCCCTTTTATTTATGGACCAGTCAATATATTGTTTTGACATTGTATTTAATTGTCAAAAGTTAATTGGAAAAAAAGACACATGGGTAAGCACACAATGTTGTCAAACATAGAGCTGAGTAAATAATACCTTTCGTGCAAGAACATTGTTCTTCACTTTTTTTTCCTCGTCTAAAAACCTTTTACAGCGCTCAAAGGTTTGCTCCAAGCTGAAATTTAAGAAAAAGATAATGTCATGTACTCACTAAAAGCAAATAGAATAAGATTAATATGAAAGATAATGTAATTCAATGAGTAAACAACCACTATTTACATCAATAGATTTATTGTTTTTCAATATTGTCAAACTCATTTGTATATGGATTATATAACATCATATCTAGTTGCAACACAGCAACCTATTGTGTCAAATTCTTCCTCTTCCTCCAATTTTAATGAGTTTTGGTTAAATGACACATGTATCCTAATTCTACTTTCTTAAATCTACATAGTATCTAGGTAGGATGACAATAAGAGTTCTCTCTCTCTCTCTCTCGTCGCATCTTAACAAGATAATGCACTGCAAGATGTGATAACTTCACAATGTACCCACTACAACTGCATAATTGTGTGATGCACCCCACTATGATCATGGGGTGAGAGATTTGACATCAACACGTAAAAATAGTCAATCGCAAAAGATGAAACTTTGACATGACGGCACCACTAATCTGATGATATTTCTTTATAAGTTAGGCACATTGAGTCCTGCTAAATGCCTCATTGAGGAAGCTTGATGTCTTGACATTATTTCGGCACTACTATCTCCACAAATTGAAAATCAGAATCAATCATATGTTTAACTTTAAATGGTGTAATGGTTTATTATTTATTATTGTTTTTGTGCTTTATCTTCTGTCCATATATTTTTGCCACAAATTGAGGCTCTAGAAATCTTTAGTGTCAAATGTACCATAGAAACATAAATAATGAGGAGTTTCAGGTCAACTTCCAACTTTTGTTGTGTTAAAGCCAACTACTACCTGAAGATTTAGTTCCTCAATTATGCTTATTTTTCACACAAAACAATAGTTGTAGAAGAAGTTGTAATAATAGAAGTGAGCCATGGAGAAGCCATGAAGATCACAATCATGGTAAATAATACTTCATTCATTAAGACTGCACATTGTGTACAAAGATAGTTTGAGAAAAATTTGGATAGTTTGTACGACAAATAGGTGTACTTGTTAATAACTAGACTACAACTACTACAAATCTCACTATCACTCCATCTCCAAGTACTTAATATTTTATGACTTTTAAGTAGAAACCATTAACTTCACATCTTTTATGTCACATTTCGTATGATAGTAATTTAGTTAAGAGACAAAATATCTACAGATAATAAACAAGAATACTAAGGAATGGCTTATTGTGTACATAATGGACATAAAAACAATGTAAGTGAGACAAATTGTTGCCTCATTATCTTTTGTTCATTTTTGAAGTCCTATTGAGGTGATATCATTAACCTCACCGATAATTTATTTATCAACAGTTATTAACACTTCTCCACCTTCAATTCATGTAGTTTTTCAAGTTTTTTTAGTTTTATTTATTCCAAGTATATATTCCAAGTATATTCATCAATCTGCAACAGCTTTTTACAAATTACCCTCTCAATTTCCTCAAATAATTATTTACCTATCACTACATAAATTATTATAGAAATTTCACTCACCATTTTATATTCTTTATCACTTAAATCTTGAATTATCAAGAGGCTATCAAGTGTGACCTAGAAAAATGTCATTGAGGACATGACAACGATTTGGAGTTAGGGCACTTGTGAGTTGGCTTCTCCACCATCACTTTGTGTTTCTCTTTACGATGAAACATGACAAGGTTACCTATGACATTCACATGTCTAACCAATTATCATTAACATAACATACATATTGTTACTATATACCTAGTTTATTCTACAAAATAATTGAACCTAACAAGATTGAGAGAGGGAAGGAGATAGAGAGAACAACAAAATAAGCATTTCAAAGTTTTTCCTTCACTCAAATGTTGACATCAAGACCTCTTTACCATTAAAAGAGAAGTTTATGAAATATTTATCTAATTTAATACACTAACTTAAATTAAGCAATTTCTATCTCCCAATGAACACCTTCCATATAGTCCAAATCTTACAATGACAAATTTGTATCTACATTTAGAAGAACTCCATAATAAAAAATTAGCATGTTAATGTCCTCATTCCTGTCATTCACCCTAAACTTTAGCTATTACTCTCATCATGCTTAATTTTAAATGTTTTGAATATCAGATAAATGTTTTCCTTAAAAGGAGGATGTTTTACACCAATTCTCCTAAGGACTGAACTATTAATTTACTTTTTTAGAAAAATCTTTGAGCCAATTAGTATCATATCTTTACCTAGCAAAATACCCTACCCTATCTTGTAGGCTGGATTGAACGAAGAATAGCATCTCATGCGCCACCGTTATTTAAATGTTTGTGATAAGTACCAAATCAATAATCTCTGGTCACCATGCCCCAAATTCTAAAGTCATTTCATGAAAACTCTAGTAAAAATCTCCCCATAAAGAAAGGAAAATAGATTTTTTGCACGATTTTGTGCAAAGAAATAAAGAATTGATAACACAAAAGAGTGTAAAAAGAGATGATGAGGCTTCCACGAATTCAAATATCTATGATCCTGAACCCCTATTGACATCTCAAGCTCAAAAAGGTCTCAAGGTTTCTCATCAATGTTCAAGGAGACTCTACCAAATTTGTTCTTACATTCACTTTGTCTGGCATTTTTCATTTTTCATTTTTCATTTTTCATTTTTGTTTGGCATGCTTCTATTATCCTAAAAATATTTAGTTAGAACCCAAGGGAAGCTAACTTTTAATAAGGTAGCAGTACTAAGTAAAATACATAAAATAAGGTATGGGGATTAAAATTAAATTAAAATACAAAATAATTAATGATGTTTCGTGTTGAAATTACATATTCACATTAAAACAAAACAAATATGATAATCCTTCTCCATCTTGTTGGAATTTATCTCTCATTGCCTTAGGCCAACGAATTATGCCTAGTTGAATGGACAACATTGGTTATTTATTGTCTTCTTAAAACACTCTATGCCCCATTCATGACAATGCAATTCTTTATGTAAGAAGTAACAAGAGTTTACACCCAGAATACCTTCTTTATTACTTACCTTTAGTCTTTCTTCCTTTTTCATATAAGTCCTCGCCTTAGTTAACAAGGGAAAAAATCATGGAAAAAAAGGAAAGCTCTAAAAGACAATGACATACGATCATGTGTACCCCCTTTGAAAAAGGATCCCCTAATTGTTTTCAATTAATTGCACACAACTAAGCAAAACAAGTAGTAAATTTATGAAGAATGCAATAAGATTAGTAAATTTATGAACTCCTATCAAAAAAAAATTACATACAGGTGTCTTACAATGTTATTCACCAGGTTAAACTTTTAGAATTCATTATCAATGTATGAGAACATTTGCATAGGTCAAAAAGACACCATGTTAAAGACTATTATCCAAGAGTGCACTCAATTGGGCACTCAATTGGGCCTTCTTAAAGATTACTTTCTAGAACCACCTCAAAAAAGAGGATTATCCAAGAGTTAAATTGATATAACCTCAATGCAAAACAAATCCTACTTGATGATATTATACCTTTGAGGAAAATGTAATAACATAAAAAAAAATTATGCCACCTTAAATGCTCAAACAAAGTATATAATCATGGCATAAATAATACCTAAATTGTAGAATTCTAATTTTATAAAGGAAAGTGCACGATTCTAATTTATGGTCAACACATATTCTCACAAATTATTTTGAAGGTAGACCTTTCAATAAAAGCCATTTTTGTAAATATTTCATTTCAACATTTCATCAGATACATCAAAAGAGGCATTTTTTTCATTTATTGTCAAAAGGAAGATCCCCTAATACTCATGGGAGGGGGGCAATAAAATTTCAGCATGAAAGACGAGAAATACAACCATACATAGCCATTACTTCACTTGAGTATCCTAGAATTAAGGTCAAACTAAGTCAACTTTGTTCAACAAAAACTACAAGTAGAAGATATGAGCTGCAAACTAAATATTATGATGCTAAAACAACACACCCCTCCATAGGAAAAGTAGTGTAAATCGCTAAAAGCAGGGTGAATATAAGCCTGTGAGAAGAGTTCAATATTTAATAAGCTTTACCATGTGTTTTATGCCACACACACTTAGGGTACCATAAGCTGCTAACATTGCTTGTCAATTAATGTTCTAAGAACATGCAAATGCTTTTGTTCCTAATACTTTGATGATAAAAATGAGAAGTGTTCAACATCATATGATGTAATTTTCTCCTCACTTTCTTCAATTCCACCATCTTAGATGCGAAATTAATGGTAACAGAAATAACTAACTCGAAAACCTTTCTTAGGGGCATCCATCAATATCACCCAATTTGATCAGCGCATGATATATTTTCTCACTAAATTATCAAGAAAGATATGCAAAAATGTCCAACTAGAGATTCCAACAAATATCCATAAGATCATGATTTATTATTGAGTTTAGAATGGGCTGAAAGCCCATGAAGCACCTGAACCAATAAACCTCTTCACATCCATTTCTAGAGTCCAGTCCCAAAACTATGAAATGAAATTTGCAAGTTATGCAGATTGACAACATAATAAATAGCCCGCTTAAAGGTTCACCCAACCTTTCAATGGTCTCTAGTGCCAAAAGCCCCAGAAGGTTAGGGGGGAATAAATTCAAACCAATACTAATTGATTCGCACTTTTACTGATATCCAACCTCTGTCAAAAACATTATCTTTACTCAAATCAGTTCGTCGCCAATAATCACACTTATTCTTTACCGCCACCTCTCGTTTTCCTCGGTATTCTCTTAGTGGTCCATAAATTCAAGAAGTAAAACAACCACGGATTGTGAGGATAAAGGTTTCATCATCTTTATAATTGAACTAGTAGAGGGATGGATTTTTTCTAAAATGGGGGTAGACAGATGAATTTTTTTCTGGAGGGATGATTTTTTGCGCACAGAAAAATCATTCACTGCTATCACTATTGGGCCATATGGCCACTTGAATTAAAGCGAGGGCTGTTGAGGGAATAAACATGAGTTGATGAGCCAATTGAGGGACTTGGGGGGAAAACAATATGACTAATGGAGAAAGAGAGAAGTGAAAATTGACTGACTTGTCGTTGGGATAGATTCCCCAATATTTCCTGACTGTGTAAAATCTTGCTACCTCCCTAATCTTTCTTCATGACTGTATAAAATGTTATCACCTCCCTGATCTTTCTTCATGACTGTATAAAATGCTATCACCTCCCTGATCATTCTTTCTTGTTTAACATGCATTTGGTCATCTCTGAGATAAGCTTCACGTGTGGAAGATCAAGCCGGGGGACTGTACAAGAGTATCACCTGCTAGTCCGTGTTGTATCTTATTGGGAGAAAGAATAAGGAAAGAGAATTTACCAGAGAATGGAGCTACACCGATATCCAACCGGCCTGGAATGTAAGATTATGTGGAAAGGAGGTTAATGTGTTGCTTAGGGCAATGAGGCATGGCGACAGAGCTGGCTATTTATAAGGATGGATGAAATGTTCTGGTCAGAGAGGTGAAGAGTCTCCCTAGAATATGAGAAGGTGAGGAGTTTGTAACGAATTTTAAACATTCAACGCTCCAGGGAGGTGAAAAGTTTCAGCAATCAGGAAGATGAAAGGGTTGCGAAGGCGAAGGGTCAAAGGGAGATGAGGATTCACGAGTGCGAACAAGGCATCCCTCACATGAAAAAGATAAGAATCGCCCAAAAACCGTCTAGACTTTCGCGCAAAGTTCACTGAATAACTTAACATCATGGGTGTCTACAAAGTGAAAAAGGCAAAGCGGATAGAAATAATAACATGCTATCTGATCCGAAGGTTGAATGACAATGACACCCATTGCATAATTCCTCAGTGGGGATAAAATACATCCGGTCCTCAGTTTTTCCAGCTTACCACGAGGATTTTATTCAAAAACCAACCATATGGTGTCATGCCGGAAACCAAGAAATTATTCATGAACATTTACAAACCACATATCCGAGTAATTTTACGGCATATCGTCTGTTATTGTCGTTCAGAGAAGCAATAATGTACGGCTAATATTTGTCAAACACGGTAATCAGGAACTGATAGTTATGCCGATGCTCAATGCTTGCCCCCATATTCAGTCCCTTTGCTGGACGTCCATTCCCTCTCGAGATGCTACAGACTACAGAACAGCTAGTCCACCAGCTCTGCTCGGACCGCACCAACGTAAGTTCTCGTGTCCCCCAGTGGAGGGGGGCCTTCTCTTCCCTCTTGAAGAAGAGGCCCCACTGAAATAGGAGAATGGAAGACTGGGAGAGGAGGCTATATCGAAAAGTTTGATGTGCCACCAAAACTAACGAAGAAGAACCGCCAAAAAAGAAGACGGAGGTATGTTCGACGGTATGCATATCAATTTAGAATCTTCCTACTTGCTGAAGGCTTGGCTGCCATTAAGAGAGGTTCAGGGAAGAACTCTTCCAAGTCTCATCATCGCTCAAATGTATGCTCATCATCACAGTGAAAACTTATTTGAAAAAGATAAAGAGAGCTTTTTGATGATGCATCTTATAAGCTGTTGTTTGCTGGTTGCCCGAGCTACCATTGTCGGGGACAAATAAACGCCAACTAGAAAACCGAATAAGTCCATAGATAAGCGGAGGGCACGGGGTGTTGGAAGGAAGGGACGGATAAAATAAAGCTCACAGGTCAAAGGGAACCCCCCCCCCCAATCTCTCACAAGCGTCGTGTTCATGAATCTAGACACAGGGAAAGCTTCCGAGAACAAGGCTTCTGTGACTATTTCATAGATAGGGAAAAGAGGAAAATTGCGAATGTGCCCTTTCTTCTTTCATTTGATATGTGTCAAAATGAACACCGTCACAAAAGTGTGTGCGTCTCTCTAAGGTGCATCAACCTTGCGAAGCAAAGAAATATTCATCGGCTAGAACTCTCTGTGCAGCGTTTATCTGCTTGCTGTCTCTGCGTGTGCACCTGCGGAGAGAGCAAACGCGTCAACCCCACGACATTCCGTGCATTCATCACGGAAAATGCCCGTTTTGCGACGCTCCCGAAATCGACCTAAATACTCATTGGTCTAACATTATCCGTCCTTATCCTAGCAAGGGAAAAACATGGAGGAGGCTCTCCACAAGCTACGGCGAAGCTGAAGTACATCGCCGTTGGGAGAAGACACGAAAGAAGAGAGAAGACACCGCGGCCAGGAGAAAGCGTTCTCACCAGCAAATCAAATCCAGACTCGAGGTGACACCAAAACAACTGCACTGGTTTTCCCTCTTTCCTGTATTTTTCGAAGCATACGTAAAATAATCGCCGAACGAAAACGGAGAACGTATACCGTGTCGTCGGCTGGGAATCAGACAATAAGGAAACCAGATCCACCGGTACTAAAGAGAGGTGAATGGAATGGACGGCCACGGGGAACAGAAAATCTTGAAAGAACCTAAGCACAATCGAAGCCAGAGCTCGGATTGTTCCTCCCCAAGGAGTTTTCATTCGATTATTCCCGTGGATCGATATAAGGACCTTCTGCGGACGCCTCGCGGTGTTATCGATACATCAGCATGCATTTCACAAACAGGAAGCGGAAAGCAGGCGGATAGAGGGGGGGCGAGCATGTACCTGGACTGGCTGGAGAAGTGGGAGAGCTTCCCCTTGGGTGAGAAGACTACGACTCCGACCTCGGCGTCGCACAGCACGGCGAGCTCTCGCGCCTTCTTTAGCAGACCGCTCCGACGCTTAGAGAAGCTCACCATCCGCCTCGCCCCATCATCGATCCGCTGAAGCGTCACCTTCCCCCGCACCATGCCTTCGCTCCCTAGGAAGAGCCCTAGACAACTACCAGGGCAACGACGGCCGGAAGACAAGGGACTAGAGGAACCGCCTTCCTGCGCAGCTCAGCTCAGCTCAGCTCAGCTCAGCTCAGCTCGTGTATCTGTGTATGTTGAGGGGTTGAAGTGCTACTGATGGTCCCCTGAAGCGTGCAAACTTGGAATTCGAGCCGAGGGAATTATACACAGTTGAATGTCGCATCTCCACCCTTGGATAGATATCAAGGCGAAAGGAACCTTCCCAGTCCTCGGGTTTCTCTCTCCTGATATCAAAAGCAAATGTTTCACTTTCCCCCTGATTGGCCGAGGATGACCGGACTCAGCTCTTGGAGAGAGAGAGAGAGAGAATATGGATAGGCATAGAGAGGATGAGGGGAAGGAGAGCATCGAGAAGCGAGGCCCAGAACGTTCTGGAGCTCGTGCCGCGAAGAGTACCATCTCCACCGTCGACATTTATTCGCTAGACCTTGAGATAAGCACGTGTACGAACCGATTTATTCCTCGGTCAGAAATAGTAAGGGTTTATATGAAGACACGAGTCAATCCAACCCGAGGTAATTATAAGGTCAACGCATATGCCAGTCAACGCGGACTGTCTGCGGGCTGGGCAAAACCATCTGCGCCAAAACACCGACAACTCTCTGCCCCTCGGAGGGAGGCATGGCGGTAGATTTCTGACAGGAGTTGCGGAGTGGACATACGGGAGAGAGAGAGGGAGGGGGGTGCGTCCGATTTGGGACTATACGACGAGTCGATGACCCGGCCGATTTGGAAATTCGTCGGTATAAAAATTTATGCAATTAAATCCCTTGACAAAGTCCATCGGAACAGTACTCGTGGGCTCGTCACTCACCCACCCAACTCTCCAATGGCGCCAAATGTCTTTCCATCCCGTTATTTTAATATTTTATTAATAAAAAAAAATCCCAAGAGAGGTGCTGTTAACGAACCCGGGCGTCATTTATCCGTCATCCAATTTATAATTTATCAACGATTTTAAAATCACGCCCGTAGGGGGAAAAAAAAACAGCCCCCACTCAGCTCAATCACGGCACTGAACAGTCTCCCCCGCGGAGCTCCCCCAAACACGGTGGTGAGAGGCCGGTTGTGCCTTGGAGTCACCGCAAACTCTTCGGACTGGGTCAGAACGCACGAAGGTGGTTTTCTTCTTCTTCTTCTTCTTCTTCTTCTTCCAGTCCTCGCCTCTCAAACGTGCAGAGGGCCGTCGACCAGAGGCAGGTGC